CATTTAGTAAAGATTGCTGGCTACAGGCTTGTCATATTTTTATTATGTTGAAGTACATTCCTTTTATTCCAAGTTTCATCAGAGCTTTTATCATGAAGAATGTTGAATTTTCGTCATAGGCTTATCATGTGTTTTTGTCTTTGCTTATGTTAATATGCTGTATTACACTTAATGTTTTGCATGTGTTGAGCCATCCCTGTGTCCTTGGTATGAAGCCAACTTGGTCATGGTGTTTGATCTTTCTGATATGTTGTTGGATTTGGCTTGCATTCTTTATTGAGGATTTTTGCATCTATGTTCATTAAAGAGATTGGACTGTAGTTCTTTTTTTTTTTTAATGCCCTTGTCCTGCTTGGAGATGAGTGTAATCCTGGCTTCATAGAATGTTGTGCTGTTTCCTTTCCTATTTCATGGAAAAAATTTGAGAAGTATTGATGTTAGCTCTTCTTTAAAGATCTGGTAAATTTCAGTAGTGAATCTGTAGGGTACTGACTTTTCTTTTTTTGGGAGACTCCATTGCTGCTTCAATTTCATTCCTTGATATGGATCTATTTAGCTAATTTGTATTCTCTAGGTTCAATTCTGGAGGGTCATTTGTTTCTATAATTTTTTCCATTTTTTCTAGATTTTCAAATTATTTAATATAGTTTTGCAAAGTAATCCTTAATGATGGCCTGAATTTCCTTGGTGGTGTTGTAATGTCCACTTTTTAATTTAATTTTATAAATATGTGTCTTTCTCCACCATCTTATGCAGATTTGCTAGAAGTTTATCAATCTTATCTATTTTTTTGAAGAACCAGCTTTTTGTTTCATTGATTATTTGTATTGGTTTTTTTGATACTCTTTCATTGATTTTGGCCCTTATTTTTATTATTTCTTTCCTTCTGATGTTTTGGGCTTTATTTGGGCTATAAAATTTTTCACTTCTGAGATTTTAATTTGTTTTGCTTTTTTTCAGAATTTCTGTATCTTTATTGAATTCCTTTTTTTAATATCCTGCATTTTCTTCTTTATTTCATTCAACTGTTCTGTTAGTCATTTATATATATCCCCTCTGAATTCATTCAGCTGCATACACATATCCTCTTTAATATCATTGACCATTCTTGTTATTGTTTTGTTGTTTTAATTCATTGTTTGAAATTTCTTCCTCATCACTATCATCATTTCAGTACTGTATAGTTTTTGAGCTTGAAGGAGACATATTGACTTGTTTTATCATGAAAACTTGTGTTTCTAAACTGAGATTTATGTATCTGGGATGAGTTTTTGGTTGGAATTTTCAGTCTTTTGTGTCCTTTTATTTAGGAATTCTCAAAGACTTTTTAAGACTGTGTAGTGGCCATGTTGTGGTGTTTTATCACCTCAGCTCTGGGTGTCTGATCAGCTCTACTTCAGTTCCCTCTCCTTGTGTCAGTGGCATGGAACCTGCCACATATTAGGAAGCTGGGAGATAGGAAGGGTGATTCCATGTCTTTCAAGGATTATTCATTGTCTTGAAAATTGTCATTTAATATATTTTGTCTGTTTTCTTCAGTCCGTTTCTGTAGGAAGGTAAATCAGGTACATCATCTTGGCTAGAAGCAGATTTCAATAGAGCCTCAGCACATTCTACAAATTGGCTAGATTGCTCCTTGTCACCCTCTGCCTAACTGCTTCCAATTAATCCTTCATTTACTAATGTTCCCTTCTCTTCCTCTGGGTACCTTCCTGATCTTAGTTTAGGTCATTTTCTCTTAGATGATCACAGAGATCTATTGTCTGAACTTATCTGCCTTTGTAATGGAAATTTTATTTCACTTCCTTCCCCACTAGAGGTAAACATCTGTTTTGTCTGCAGAGCTTAGTGTGATGTGTTCCACATTGTAGGTTTGTGTACATTTGTTTGGATATATGAAAGAGTGAATGTGAAAATGTATAGCACTCCATATAAGAAAGTGCTCATATGTGTTATTTCTTTTCTACCTGATATAGATTCTGGTAGTTTATTGAAAATCCAGATACAGTCCATTCATATAAAAAATTAATACATCTTAAAAGTAGTCACTGTGAAGTACTTAACAAAAAATTAAAAAATGGAAAAAATGATTAGTGCATTACAAAAGGAGCTATCAGAAACTGAGCAAGAAAAACTAGAACAAGAAAAAGAAGTCTGCAATTTGAGGTATGATATCCTAGTTTTAAATAAATGTGTGAGGGCTGGGGTTTAAGTCAGTGGAGGGTGCTTGCTTATCCTGTGTAACGTCCTGGGATTGCTCCCCAGCTGTGGAAGTCAAAGTTTAAATTTTGAGTCAGGCACAGTGGTGCTCACCTGTAAATCCCAGCACTTAGGAGGCTGAGGTGAGAGCACCAGGAGTTTGAGGCCAACCTAGCAGACAATTGTCTCAAAAACAACAAAAAGGAAAGATTCAAAGAATATGTTTTATACTACAAATACATAGGGGAATTTCTGTGATTGCTGACTTGCGCTTTGGGGGTTAGCCAGGGAGAAAAGTTCTTATCTTATGGAATATGAAATCTTGAGACTAATTAAACAAGTTGTTAACTGTGAATTCTTCCAATAATTCAGACTATACCATTCCAAAGCAAAATTTTAATGGTATAGAAATCTGGTAATTTATTTACCAAATACAATCTGGTATTAGTTTTTTTTGTTACGTTTTGTGCAAGGAACATTGTTATATAATTATTTCTATATTTACTTTGAATAAATTCTTCCAGATAGAAATGTTTGGCTAAAATATAGGAATATTTTAAATATCTTTTTGTCAATTCTTTTTTCTAAATTGTTGTCAAGAAAGTTTGTATTAATGTCCATTTCCACTAGAAGAGTATGAAATGGCCATTTATATCATCCTATAAAACTTTAAGAACATTTACAGTTCTTTGGTGTGTAAGGATCAAATCCAGGGCTGAGCAAGAGTGATAGTTATCATCTTTAATACTAATATTCATGAGATAAAAAGTAGAGTAGAAAGAGTTTACCGATTAGTTTTTCAGCAATACATAAAATTAATTCAAATTTCTATGGTGAAAGGACCATAATTCTCTATTATTTAATTACTTATTGGATCTTGTCCTGTTCCAAAGAAATATTATTATTGCTTATAAAATGCATAACAACATGCAGTATGTGCTGACAATGTAAAAGTAAAGAATTATAAAAGTGGGATAGCACACTTAGCCTAAGCTTGGACTACAGGAATGCACTGATATTTGTTGGATGGAAAATATCTGAGGTTGAGATCTCATATTTTAAATTCCTTTCAGGGATTTCTGTCATTTCATCAAGATAACACTATACTTATGGAATCTATAACTTTTTGTAAGAATAATTTAAAAATATGAGTTAAATTTAAACTATGTGTTTCATTGAGATGTAATTATAAGGAATGCATTTTACACGTGCCACTTCACTGCATAAGTTTGAAGTTCTTTTCTGTGCTATGTATCTGGGTTACTAATGACAGAAATTTACTAATTAACTTAATTTTCATTATTGCCTTTCAAGTATATGTGTCATTTGGAAGAGAGTGGAGTGAGAAATTAAAAACATGAGAAATAGGAAGAAAAAATAGTAAATATTAAGTAACATAGAAATTCAATTAGGATAATAATTCAACATATGAAATTAGATTACAAAAAGAGCCTTTCATTTTATTATAAAACGAATTTCATTGCAAGCATATTTAACTGTAGATTTGCCTTAAAACACGAAGAGGAGAAAAGAAGAAATGCTGTTTGGCTTTGTGAAAAAATTAAGGAACAGTTAATAGAAAAAGAAGAGGACTATAATAAGAAGTTGAAATGAAACAACAACTTGACATGTGTGTTAGAACACTGGATATGGAGCTGAAGACTGTGAGAAATAATTTAACTAAGGTAAATTAATATTTCTACAATTTCAGAATTTATGTCAACTTACTTCATCAATATTACTTATCCCATATAGATAGATAGATAGGTAGATATAGTAATGCATTGTTAATAATGGGTATACATTGTGAGAAGTGTATTAAAATTTTGTGACTGAGCAAACATCACAATTGTGTGCTTACACAGACTTAAGACATCTCCCTCAACAGGAGGCAATACAGTCTTACAGGACCACTACTGTTTATGCAGGCTGTTGTCGACTGAACCTTGTTATGTTGTGTATCATTGTATTATTAGGTTTAAATCAAAATATTTACCCTCTATAAAAATGAATTAGCACATTTATAGCTAAAATTATTTGTTGTAAATCTTGGTAACAGATAGATGAAGAAATCGAAAGTAAGTGGGTTTGAATCACTAGCACAATTATTAATTTAGGCATTTTATATCAAAATGCAGATTAATTAGCTTTGAAACTTTAATGAAACAGGCTAAATGCTTTGTAAAGAACTTTTAATTCACAATACTCTGTATTCAAGGACAGTTTTTGGTTTTGAGAAATTTAGTCATCATTTATGTGATGAAAGTTTGACTAATACCTATGACCAAAAGTTTCTTGTGTTTTCTAAAAGGTGCTATATTTCAGTTTTTGTTTTTAAATTTTCTTCTCTTAATAAAGTTCTAGGACCCCTAATGGTGTGAGTCTAAAAACTTAATTCAGTGTATCTCTAGGCTTTAGAGGAACGAAATGATACCCAGAGAAAGCTTTCCCAAGAACAGAATGCCAGAATATTACAAGATGAGATTCTGGCAAATCACCTCTGCAAGGAAAAGGAGATAGAAATGGAGACAGAGAAAATGAGTGCTGAGGTATTTTCTTTAGTCATTTTCAAATATGTGTATATGCATTTCTGTGTACATGTTTTCAATTTGTATTAAAATTCCAAGGAGGTTATTGTGGAATTACAACCCTGTGTGCTTATACATACTATACATACTTTCAGGTTGGTAACAGTTTTTCCCACTGGAGAAGTACTGCTTTTAACTCATGTCAACTTGCCTTCACCAGTTACTTAGGGACATTCTCAATGGCCTCATCCAAGGAGAACACTTTTAACATTTTCCATAGGAATTGATTTTTTGAGGATCTCAAAACCCTTGCTAATAACAATCAATGTTCAAGTTTGGCACAATCACTCCACACCCTTCATATGTTAATGTGGAGGTTTGCTTACTTTCCCTTCAAGGTAAGAAACAAAAGTGTAGATAGCAGAGATAATAATTTGACTGTCATCTCCTTCCTTTTGAGAAGAGTTACATTTTGCTCCTAGTTATCTCCTATTTTAGTACAAAGAGCCCCTGAAAATAATGATATTCCCTAACATATACTTAGATAATAAGTATAAGAATGGGCTACCACCATTCTTCATCCCAGGACCAAAGACTTTGTTTTTATGTTTTGCTTTTTCTATACTGGGATGGAACCCATGCCTTTATGGATGCTATGCAAGTGCTCTACCATTGAGACATGTCCATAACCTAGGATCCATGTATACAGAGTTCAAAATTTCCAGACAGCTTGTAAACAAAGATCCTCATTCCTTATAAGAGCAAATGTTTTAGATTATCTTAAAAAGTATGTGAAAACTTAAGTCAATTCCTTTTCAATTTTATTATTGTTACTATTATATTATTAATTATTATTATTTTAGCAGTACTGGAATTTGCTCTTGTTTTTTTGGAGACAGGCTCTCATATTTTGCCCAGACTGGCCTAGACTGTGATCCTTTCCATTTTATGCTTCCCACTGACTTTGTAATGACAGGTGTGCACCATCATGCCGTCTTTTTATCCATTGAAATGGGGTCTTGCAAACTATTTTGCCTGGTCTGGTCTGGGACTGCCATCTTCCCAAGTAGCTAGAATACAGGTATGAGCCATGGGGTCCAGGACCCATTTCATTTTAGACATAATATAGAAGCAGAGAAGTAGAGCAAGTATAGTATTTATATCCAAAATGAAGAAATAGGAAAAGTTTCCAGATTCTGCCATTGGATTTTTAAAAAGCTACTTTATTGAGCTGTAATAGACAAACCTATAGCTCAGTGTTTCTTAATGTGTTCACAGAGTTATGTCACCATTACCACAGTCAATTTTGGAACATATTCATCATTTGAAGACAAATTCTCAAATCCTTCAATCTTCCCCAGTCCTAGAAACTCACCCATCTGTTTCTTTGTCTATATAATTTCCCTAGCCTGGATATTTCATATAAATGTAATGTACAATATGTAGTCATTTTAGACTGGAACTTTCACTCAGCATGATATTTTGGGGATCACATGTGTTGTAGCAAGTACCAGTACTTTATTTCTTTCTATTGTTTAGTAGTATTCAATTGTGTGGGTATTCCACTTATCCATCACCAGTGGATTGGGTCTTGGATTAATACTCCTTCCTGGCTATAATTAGTAATTTGTCAGGTATTTTGTGAACATGTTTTGATTTCCTATCTACTGGATTTTGATTTCCTGTCTAATTGGGCTGATTTCTCCATCTCTCTGCATTTGACTATGATGTCCTTTCTGTATTGTCAGTTTTTATTTTTGGCCTCATTTATTCAGAACTGGCTCACAATTTACTTTTTCACAAGGCATTGACTGACTCTTCTGATCATTCTTGACCTTACTCTTGTCGGTTGTTGTTTTGCTCTTACTGTTTTGTTTTTTATGTATAAATTTACCTAAAGTGCTATAATATATACTAATATGCATGGCTTCTATTTTTGAACAAATTGGAAATATTTTTGCTTAACATTTGTTAGAATAAAATAAAGTCTTTCATACCATTATTGTGTATTCAGAACAGGGATTTACATCTTTCTAATAACTTACCAAGTAAAAAGTTCAGGCTCTATCTTTTCTGATGTGCCATTCCAAATCACCTCCATCTCTCCATGAGGGCCTGGACAAAGCAGTTTAACGTGAACTCTTATTGTAAATGAAGGAATTTGGTAATCTACTATTTAGGACAGTGGCTTAGCCTATCACTGATGGTCATGTCAGTTACATACTACTTAATACAGGAGGTGACATGTGCACTGAGCTCTATGATGATTGTTTACAAGTAGTACTGGGAGCTAGTAAGCTATAACTTATAGTGAGTTGACAAAAAAATGTTAATTAGTGGAATTGATGATAGTTCCATGAAGTTCTGAATATGTAGCCTTGGATACACAGTTCCATTTGCTCCCATTATTTCCTTTATCATGCCACATATCTAAAAGATCAAATTGTATTAGAATACAAAATTCAATAATGATACTAATACTAGTAGCAATTTTATACATAGGTCTCTATGTGCCCTATACTCATATAAGGTTATACTCCCTAATCTTATCTCACCAACCATCCAGTAGAGGTAGATGGTATTACTATCTCCATTTTACCAGTGAAGAAGCTGAGACACAGAAATGTTTACTTGCTCAAGATCACATAGCTGGTGACTGTTGGAGTTGGGATTCAGATTCAGCATTCTGGCTTTTGTGCAAATACCAACTGTCACAATGTTCAATGAGGCATACAGTTGTCGCTTTAAGATCTGTGCTAATTATTATCATTCTTATCATACTTACGGTCATTGATACATATGAATTTTTCAAATCATATTTGGCAAGATGGTGCTTGGAATACAAAATAAAAATTCTTACCATAGGGAATTTGCTCTCTGCCCACATTTTACCAATTTTATAAATTTGAGTATTTGCTAAAATATAATTTAAAAATAAAAAATAATATGTTTTAGTTTTAGAACATGGATAACTAAGCTTTTCTGCAAGTGTTACCTTAGGCTAGTGTTACTTTAGGCTGTGTGGAACGTTGGATTCCTGTTGCAACAAATCAGTGAACTCTGCAGTTTCAACACAGTGGTTCTCAGTTTCATTCTGCAGAAGAAGGGATGTGGCTCTGTTCCACTGAATCTTACCTTCAAAATTCAGGATGGGATGCACACATTTTATGCCACTATTTGTAAAGTTTTTTTCTTTGTTTTAGCTGCAAGAATTATGGGATCTACAGACAAAGACTGGACAACATGCTGTGCAGATGCAAGAACGTGTGAAAAAGTATGAATACTTAAGTGTTCACGAAGCATATAGTCAATATAGATTGAGAATTATATCATCCATGGTAACATGTACATTTATGTGAAGGCTGGGAAAAAATTTACCTTTATGTTACTTGAAATGCATACCTTAGGCCTGAGGGTGGACCTCAGTGGTATAGTGTGTTATTTGTATATGTAAGTCCAAGGTTCAATCCCAGCCCCACATAATAGATAAGCAAACAAATAAGCAAATGACAGGAAGAAATGCATGCACAAAACACAGAAACGATACATTTACCAAATCATCTACTTTTCAAATTGTTATGAATTGAAGTAGTTTCAGATGTTTTTCAGAAATTATGTGGTGATTTTAAAATTGACATGTGAGAATAATTATATTAAACTATACATTTTAGGCTTCAACTTGAAAATTACAAGTTAAATATTACAAAACAAAAGGGAAAAACAAAAATTGAAGAACTGAAGAAAAATTTGTTAAGTAAAAGTGTGGTAAGTCCTTCCACATTAATTTCTATCATAGTGATGTGGAAATTTTCTTGTCTAGAATTAGAACATAGGAATATTTCAGGCAGCATAAAAATCTCATTGATAAAATATTTGTTGTTTTCAGGCTGACTCTACTTGCTACTAGTAGAGCATTTCCTCTTTATAAAAGTTTAGGTGACTCATAAAATTAATGAAATAGGTACTGATATATTAATTAAAAGGTTCTGATAGTCTAAAAGCCATTGTACAATATTTTTATACATTCATCCATTGAAGTACAAGTAGGTTCTTTCAACTACTGTGAATAACGCTGCTATGGACATTAGTGTAGAACTATGTGTTTGAGTCTCTGCTAACAGAACAGTTAAAAAATAATTTTGATTTAAAACTATTTTCAAAGAGTGAAGATGACACATTGGGCCTCCATGTGCACTCCCTTTGAATCCCTTTTGACTTTCTCTTTTTATAAGTCATTTCTGCTTCCATCTACCTTCTTGCCTAAGCCATCCCTAATGTTTTAATTGTTTTATTTTTTCTTAAATGACAGAAACTGACAGTTAGTGGTAATATCTGTCAGTTATTGATATAAAGCACCTCAAAAGTCAGCGTCTCAAAGTAACATTTATTATTTTGTTTCCAATCTGCAACTTTAGCAAGAATCAGTGAGGCTGATTCTTTACATCCCCTCTTGGCCTCAGCAGAGGTTACTTGAAGCAAGGGACTAGATGCATTTAAGCCTTGCTCATTCACATTTCTGGCGGGTGATGTGGGGTTTGAACACCACCAATCCTTTTTTGAATAAGATTTCTTCGAGATAGAGTCTTGTGAACTATTATCTCAGGATGACCTCAAAATGTGATCCTCCTGACCTCTGCCTTCTGAGTGGTTAGGATTACAAGCATTAGCTATGTTGCAGTCAGTACCACAAAAAATACTTTTAAGACTGATTGTTTTTTACTTTGAGGAATGACTTTGGATATCAATGGGGATTGTACTAACTCTGTAGATAGTTTTCAGAAGCCATTTCACAATATTAATTCAACAATACATTAAAAAAATGATCAAACTGGTTTCATTCCAGGGAGGCAAGAATTGTTCAATATATGCAAATCAACTGACATAGTATAGAATATAAACAGAATAAAGGACAAATATCACATGATCATATTAGTAGATACAGATAAAAACCTTTCAAAAAATTCTACATCCATGTATGATAAAAGCCTTGAAGAAACTTGTAATAGAAGGAGTATATGTCAACATAGCAAAGACGAAACATGACAAACCTATAGCCATCATTGTCTTAAGTGGGGAAAATGAAACAGCTTTTTCTGAAGTCAGGAGCAAGACAAATGTTTCCACTCTCCCCACTCTCATTGGATATAGTGCAGGAATTCTTATTCAGATCAATAAAGCAAGAGAAAAGAAACAAACGGAACACAAATGAGTCAAATTATCCCCATTGCCAGATGACATGGTAACGTTCACTAAAGACACCATGAAAAAACCCTTAGATTTGATAAATACTTCCAGCAAAGTAGCAGTATACAGAATCAACATTTAAAAATCAGCAAATTTTCTATGTAACAATAATGAGCTGTCTGAGAAAGAAATCCTAGAAAATAATCCCATTCTCAAGAGCCTCAAAAAGTTAAATATCTAGGAATAAACCTAACTAAGGAGGTGAAAGACCTCTATAATTGAAACTATAAAACATCAAAGAAAGAAGCTGAAGAAGGCACTAAAAAGTGGAAAGACCACCCATGTTTGTGGATTGGAAAAATTAATCGTTGTGAAAATGGCTATACTACCAAAATCAAATTTTCTTATTCTTTATTTTATGAAAAGAATCAGATGATTATAATGGATCAGATCATTAAATTTGTCTAATGGGATATATCATTGATCTTTACTGGAAAGCATTACTTCTTAGCATGCAATTCAAATATTAAAAACTCGAAATCCAGGAAAAGAAATTGACCTTTGAATCAGTATTTATATGATTCACTAATTAGAGTTTTATTTTCAAAGTCTTATTTTGAGAGACATTTATTGATACAGGTCTATGTAACTCCACATAATGTCCCTAAAATTAATTCAGAATCATGGGAGGTACACTTGGGGAATGTGGCAAGGTTCTTTCTACTAAGAGGTAATGTAGTGTCATTTTAAAACACAAGAAGAAAAAAGTGAAAGTCTAAGCTCAAATATTTTGTGACAGATCAAGTCTAATCATCTTCTTGTGACTCTTGATGAATTTTAATTTGTTAACTGAGTAATTTATTGGACCACATTCTAAAAGTTAATATAGGTTATATATTATTGCAATGGAATTTATGTAAAAATTTGTTACTGGTCTTCTATTAGACTTTTCTTAGTCTACTTTCTTCATTATAAAGTATATTATTTATTCATACAGGATGATGAACTTGTAGAAAAACTGGAAATTGCATCTTTAAAATGTCTACATCTAGAAAAAGAAAATCAACGTCTTCATCAGGAGTTACTGTCTAAAACAACTGCTAAAAAGGATTGTGAAACACTAGAGAAGAATATAATGACATTGAAACAAGAAGTGGTAAACCTCAAAACTTATATGAAAAACAATATGTTAGAACGTGGTCAAGTAGAACAATATAAGCAGAATATTGAAGAAGGAGCAAAACGGGATTTAGTAAAAAAATTGAGACAAGTCAATCTATTTTTGCAGGTTAATTTATTTGCCTATAATATACTTTAATTCTTCCAAAAGCAAATTACAATTTGGATGTATAGATTTTATGTTTCCTCTACTCCTCTACTTCCCTTATTGCACCTTGTTTTATAGATTTCTGGAAGGAAGATGACATCTGATTCTCCTCTTAAGTCTTTCAGTTTCCATAATTATATTTAAATTGAACTTTCAGAGTGATGCTTTTCAGTAGAGAAAAAAATTATTTTTAAGACTAATTAGGATAAAATGAGACTACTAGGAGGAAAATAAAAAATAGTGATGTTAAAATAATACCAGAGATTAAAATGTTGTTCTTTAGATGGATTGTTCAGCTTTTAAAAACTTGAATTGATTTTTTGTTTTATTAATTATGACATGACATGAGTACTAACATAAGGATGACTTGGGACTGGAGATGCAGCAAAGTATGAGACCAGGCACTAAGCATGTGGGAGGCCTGGGTTTGATCCCCAGAACTACAAACGTAAAATAATTCATTTTTTTATAATTCACATTTAATGCAGTTAACATTCATCATAAATACTTTAAATGACAGCATCTATTTTCACATATTTAAGATTGCTCTCTGAATCACTGACTTAGTGTGACACAATAATTATTTGGGTTATAATTATTCTAAGTATATATCTTTTTTATTTTGTTTAGACACAGGCAGCATGTCAAGAAAAGTTAGAGCAATTCAGAGAGACACAAAATGCTTCAACAAGAAGTCACATGGAACTCAGAATTAGCAATTTAGAATCTGAACTGTCTACAATGAAAAGTCAACTGGACTTTAGTAAAATGGAGGTTGAAAACTATAAGCAACTCTACCTAGAAGAAGTCAAAATTAGAAAATCACTGTCAAACAAACTACACAAGTAAGTCTAAACAATCATAGAACTTAAATTGTGATCATTAATTTCTATTAGTTTTTTAAGCTAAGTATGATTAGAACTTTATCATCAAGACAATTATATTGATATTAACTTACTGGTCAGTATTCTCCAAAATAGAAACATTAACAAGTTTAACTATGCCTGGAAGATTACAACCTAAACCCAAAGGGTCATGTGCTACTTCTCCTCCTCCTTCAGGCACACTATAGCATTTGGTAAATTTACTTTCAATGATTATGATCTTTGGTGTTACCACTAGAAGGTTCCTGGACAGAAACTGTCCTTCAGTTTTTCTACATAAAGGCAGGCTTGTGCTAAAAAGACTGCCATAGTGATGAAGGAAAGGATAATTTGCAAAGTGGTAAAAAAAATAATTCTTTGTTCATTGTGGGGAGATGTGACAGATAGAAAGGGCTTATTCCACCTTGGATACCTGGTGACTGTGTGATGAGATCATTGCCTGTGGAGCTGTTTTAGCTGATTTTGATCAAAAATTCAGCTATCTCATTTTGCTCTACAGGTTGCTGCTCTGAATTACTCCTCAGTTCCAAATACTTAATTTCTTCCACGTACTGAGGAAAATATAACAATCACGAAAACACTTGTCTGAGTGGTATTATTTTTATTTTTTTTTTTATTTATTTATTTTTTTTTTTTTCATTTTTCTTTTATTATTCATATGTGCATACAAGGCTTGGTTTATTTCTCCCCCTGCCCCACCCCCTCCCTTACCACCCACTCCACCCCCCCCGCTCCCCTCAATACCCAGCAGAAACTATTTTGCCCTTATCTCTAATTTTGTTGAAGAGAGAGTATAAGCAATAATAGGAAGGAACAAGGGTTTTTGCTGGTTGAGATAAGGATAGCTATACAGGGCATTGACTCACATTGATTTCCTGTGCGTGGGTGTTACCTTCTAGGTTAATTCTTTTTGATCTAACCTTTTCTCTAGTTCCTGGTCTCCTTTTCCTATTGGCCTCAGTTGCTTTAAGGTATCTGCTTTAGTTTCTCTGCATTAAGGGCAACAAATGCTAGCTAGTTTTTTAGGTGTCTTACCTATCCTCACCCCTCCCTTGTGTGCTCTCGCTTTTATCATGTGCTCATAGTCCAATCCCCTTGTTGTGTTTGCCCTTGATCTAATGTCCACATATGAGGGAGAACATACGATTTTTGGTCTTTTGGGCCAGGCTAACCTCACTCAGAATGATGTTCTCCAATTCCATCCATTTACCAGCGAATGATAACATTTCGTTCTTCTTCATGGCTGCATAAAATTCCATTGTGTATAGATACCACATTTTCTTAATCCATTCGTCAGTGCTGGGGCATCTTGGCTGTTTCCATAACTTGGCTATTGTGAATAGTGCCGCAATAAACATGGATGTGCAGGTGCCTCTGGAGTAACAGTCTTTTGGGTATATCCCCAAGAGTGGTATTGCTGGATCAAATGGTAGATCGATGTCCAGCTTTTTAAGTAGCCTCCAAATTTTTTTCCAGAGTGGTTGTACTAGTCTACATTCCCACCAACAGTGTAAGAGGGTTCCTTTTTCCCCGCATCCTCGCCAACACCTGTTGTTGGTGGTGTTGCTGATGATGGCTATTCTAACAGGGGTGAGGTGGAATCTTAGTGTGGTTTTAATTTGCATTTCCTTTATTGCTAGAGATGGTGAGCATTTTTTCATGTGTTTTCTGGCCATTTGAATTTCTTCTTTTGAGAAAGTTCTGTTTAGTTCACTGCCCATTTCTTTATTGGTTCATTAGTTTTGGGAGAATTTAGTTTTTTAAGTTCCCTGTATATTCTGGTTATCAGTCCTTTGTCTGATGTATAGTTGGCAAATATTTTCTCCCACTCTGTGGGTGTTCTCTTCAGTTTAGAGACCATTTCTTTTGATGAACAGAAGCTTTTTAGTTTTATGAGGTCCCATTTATCTATGCTATCTCTTAGTTGCTGTGCTGCTGGGGTTTCATTGAGAAAGTTCTTACCTATACCTACTAACTCCAGAGTATTTCCTACTCTTTCTTGTATCAACTTAAGAGTTTGGGGTCTGATATTAAGATCCTTGATCCATTTTGAGTTAATCTTGGTATAGGGTGATATACATGGATCTAGTTTCAGTTTTTTGCAGACTGCTAACCAGTTTTCCCAGCAGTTTTTGTTGAAGAGGCTGCTATTTCTCCATCGTATATTTTTAGCTCCTTTGTCAAAGATAAGTTGCTTATAGTTGTGTGGCTTCATATCTGGATCCTCTATTCTGTTCCACTGGTCTTCATGTCTGTTTTTGTGCCAGTACCATGCTGTTTTTATTTTATTGCTTTGTAATATAGTTTGAAGTCAGGTATTGTGATACCTCCTGCATTGTTCTTTTGACTGAGTATTGCCTTGGCTATTCGTGGCCTCTTGTGTTTCCATATAAATTTAACAGTAGATTTTTCAATCTCTTTAATGAATGTCATTGGAATTTTGATGGGAATTGCATTAAACATGTAGATTACTTTTGGGAGTATAGACATTTTTACTATGTTGATTCTACCAATCCATGAGCATGGGAGATCTCTCCACTTTCTATAGTCTTCCTCAATCTCTTTCTTCAGAAGTGTATAGTTTTCCTTGTAGAGGTCTTTCACATCTTTTGTTAGGTTTACACCTAGGTATTTGATTTTTTTTGAGGCTATTGTAAATGGAATTGTTTTCATACATTCTTTTTCCGTTTGCTCATTGTTAGTGTATAGAAATGCTAATGATTTTTCTATGTTGATTTTATATCCTGCTACCTTGCTATAGCTATTGATGATGTCTAGAAGCTTCTGAGTAGAGTTTTTTGGGTCTTTAAGGTATAGGATCATGTCGTCTGCAAATAGGGATATTTTGACAGTTTCTTTACCTATTTGTATTCCTTTTATTCCTTCTTCTTGCCTAATTGCTCTGGCTAGGAATTCCAGTACTATGTTGAATAGGAGTGGAGATAGTGGGCATCCTTGTCTGGTTCCTGATTTTAGAGGGAATGGTTTTAATTTTTCTCCGTTAAGTATAATGCTGGCTGTAGGTTTGTCATATATAGCTTTTATAATGTTGAGGAACTTTCCTTCTATTCCTAGTTTTCTTAGAGCTTTTATCATGAAATGATGTTGGATCTTATCAAAGGCTTTTTCTGCATCTATTGAGATGATCAAGTGGTTTTTGTCTTTGCTTCTGTTAATGTGGTTTATTACGTTTATTGATTTTCGTATGTTGAACCACCCCTGCATCCCTGGGATGAAGCCTACTGGTCGTGGTGAATAATCTTTTTGATGTGTTGCTGAATTCGTTTGCCATTATTTTGTTGAGGATTTTTGCATCAATGTTCATTAAGGAGATTGGCCTATAGTTCTCCTTTTTGGAGGTGTCTTTGCCTGGTTTTGGGATAAGTGTAATACTGGCTTCATAAAATGTGTTTGGCAGTTTTCCTTCCCTTTCTATTTCATGGAACAGTTTAAGGAGGGTTGGTATCAGTTCTTCTTTAAAGGTCTGATAGAATTCAGCAGAGAATCCATCAGGTCCTGGACTTTTCTTTTTGGGGAGACTCTTGATTGCTGCTTCAATTTCATTTTGTGTTATAGGTCTATTCAGGTGATTAATTTCCTCTTGGTTCAGTTTTGGATGATCATATGTATCTAGAAATCTGTCCATTTCTTTTAGATTTTCAAATTTATTTGAATATAGGTTCTCAAAGTAGTCTCTGATGATTTCCTGGACTTCCATGGTGTTTGTTGTTATCTCCCCTTTTGCATTCCTGATTCTACTAATTTGGGTTTTTTCTCTCCTCATTTTAGTCAGGTTTGCCAGGGGTCTATCGATCTTGTTTATTTTTTCAAAGAACCAACTTTTTGTTTCATTAATTCTTTGTATGGTTTTTTTGGTTTCTATTTCGTTGATTTCAGCTCTTATTTTTATTATTTCTCTCCTTCTATTTGTTTTGGGATTTGCTTGTTCTTGTTTTTCTAGGAGTTTGAGATGTATCATTAGGTCATTGATTTGGGATCTTTCAATCTTTTTAATATATGCACTCATGGCTATAAACTTTCCTCTCAAGACTGCCTTAGCTGTGTCCCATAGGTTCCGGTAGGTTGTGTTTTCATTTTCATTGACTTCAGGAACTTTTTAATTTCCTCTTTTATTGCATCGATGATCCATTCTTCATTAAGTAATGAGTTATTTAGTTTCCAGCTGTTTGCATGTTTTTTGTCTTTACTTTTGTTGTTGAGTTCTACTTTTACTGCATTGTGGTCAGATAGTATGCATGGTATTATTTCTATTTTCTTATATTTGCTGAGGCTTGCTTTGTGCCCTAGGATATGATCTATTTTGGAGAAGGTTCCATGGGCTGCTGAGAAGAATGTATATTGTGTAGAGGTTGGATGAAATGTTCTGTAGACATCTACTAGGTCCACTTGATCTATTGCATATTTTAGATCTTGGATTTCTTTATTGAGTTTTTGTTTGGATGACCTATCTATTGATGATAATGGAGTGTTAAAGTCTCCCACAACCACTGTGTTGGCGTTTATATATGCTTTTAGGTCTTTCAGGGTATGTTTGATGAAATTGGGTGCGTTGACATTGGGTGCGTACAGATTGATGATTATTATTTCCTTTTGGTCTATTTCCCCTTTTATTAGTATGGAATGTCCTTCTTTATCTCGTTTGATCAATGTAGGTTTGAAGTCTACTTTGTCAGAGATAAGTATTGCTACTCCTGCTTGTTTTCGGGGGCCATTGGCTTGGTAAATCTTCTTCCAGCCTTTCATCCTAAGCATATGCTTATTTCTGTCGGTGAGATGAGTCTCCTGTAAGCAACAAATTGTTGGATCTTCTTTTTTAATCCATTTTGTCAAACGGTGTCTTTTGATGGGTGAATTAAGTCCATTAACATTAAGTGTTAGTACTGATAGGTATGTGGTGATTCCTGCCATTTAGTTATCTTAGTTGTTTGAAGGTTTGATTG